TTATGTGTTTTTTCTCTGGCCAGAAGTTCTATGGCAAATCCTCCTTCTTCAATTTGGCAATCCAACGAGGAACCCCTGGTGGATCATCAATTGTAAAGGTGAAATAACAAATTTTGTTTTCACTCTTACCCGATGAATTACAACATCCAACTGCCATGCACGTGGGCATTGTCATTGTTTAACTTCAATGGTGAAGTACTCTTGAAATCTTAAATAAATGTAATTGATTGCAGATGTGTTTGGTAGTTGCCATTGATTTTGCTTGTAAACTGAGGACAGTGGCGCTAGGCTTACCGCACTGTGATGTCACTGCCGGAAGATGTCAGGAGTGAGGTGTTACTATATTTGGGAATAAATTGCCGGTCTCAGACTCAGTGATTGAAAAATTACTGTTTTTATTTTTTTACTGATTAACACAAAATTCATTAAATCACCGCAAACGTAATACTTTTAGGTATAGATAATAATCCATTGATTATTCCTCAGTGACCAAACTTCTCCTTTAAAGAAGCTAAGCAAACTGATAAAGATGGCCAGTTCTGTTCTAAGAACTGTTGGGATCCTCAGGCTTGCCCACCAGAGGGCGCCGAGGATCCGCTTCTGCTCTCTTTGTTTTTCCCTTAGGTTTGGAGTTACTGTGGGGATCTGGAGAATACCCTCTGTCTCCAGCAGGATGTGCTGTGGGTCTTCTGGAGCTGGAACCTTCCTGCACACCTGTTCCTAATCCTCTGATTAGAAGACCTCTCCTTTATAAGCTCCTGCCTGACCTTGATCCCACGCCGCAGTGTTGATCTTAGTTGGTTAGCTTCCTGAACCTTCTGCTATAGAGTCTTGGTTGTTCCTAGGTCGAGACCAGATTCTAATATCTTCTTTATCTCTGCCTCACAGGAATCCTGTCCCTCGTGAAAGCTCTGGATGAGCTTAACCTCCTGTATCTTCGTGAAAGCTCTGGATGAGCTTAGCCTCCTGTCTCCTTGTGAAGCTCCCTCATTGGAACCCTGTCTCTGGTCTGCAGCTCTGGGAGAGCTGCGTTATAGGAGACCAGTCTCAAGCCAGAAGCTCTTGGAAAGCCCAACCTGCAATCTGCCCTGGTGAGCCAACCCGCAGATCCCTACGTGGAAGAAACCTGAGGACTTCTTTGAGGAGTTTCCCCAGAGGTTACCATGTGGATTATCCCCTGTTGTTCTCTCCGTTGAGCTGGAAGCTCAGATCCAAGCCGTCCTAGCTAGCTTACAGCTAGAGGCTAAGCACCTCATTATCTCAGTAATCCAGCCATCCCCCGTTCCCTGCACAGACCCCAGTGAACCAACCTCCTGCCTGAACTGTCCCGGTTTCATATTCATGTGCTTGTGCTCCTTTAATAAACTCTTTGGACTTTTACCTGTCTCTCCGTGTGTGTTCTGCATCTTGGGCTTTACTCAGAGAAAACCCATCCTGACAGAACACTGCGGCCAAAACACAAGCCCAGCAGAACACGATTAAGGATTAAGGAACGGGACGCTTAGATCCAAGGACAGACACAACCCTCCGTGAGTTAAACTCTAGTTTTGATTGTGAAAACTAACGTTTCTGGATTCTACGGACTTCGAGGGAATCATAAGATGGCGCCTGCTCAACTTCTGGTTCCGGAGCCAAACCCGCCCCCAAGGTCAGAACCAGTCCCGTCATTTCCGGTTTTCCGCCCGTCACTTCCTGAAAGGTTTTCTGGCGTTCCAAGTAGATTAAACGGTTTCCTATTTCAGTGCAAAATATTTTTTGAACTCTCCTCTTCCAGTTTTCCTAATGACAAAGAAAAAATAGACTTTATTCTGTCCCGTTTATCTGGAAAAGCCCGCAGGTGGGGGAAGACCAATTCTCCCTCAGAAAATAGTACTTATGATCATTTTGTGAGACAACTATCCTTAGCCTTTTCTAAATCTGCCAAATCTCAGTGTCTATCTAATTTGAAACAGGGAAATAGCTCTGTTGAGGATTTTTCTGTCGACTTCCGGGTCAGAGCCGCTTCTTCTGGTTTGACCGATTCTATGCTTAAAAACATTTTCTTTCACGCCCTAAATGATGACATTAAGAATGAGCTGGCTAAGATCGAGGAACCAAAGACTCTAGATGAGCTTATATTTCTAGCAGACTACCTGGATAACAAATCACGAATCAGAGCCAGATCTAGATCCTGGACCCCAGTCCAACCCAGTTCAGTCCAGCTCAGCCAACTCCAGCCCAGTCCAGCTCAGTCTAGCCCAATACAGCTCTGTACAGCCCTGTTCAGTCAACTTCCGTACAGTACTATCCAGTTCAGCCATCACCTACATGACCATCAGTTAGTACCATCCACTAAGAAACTCAAGATTATACCACAGCTCCATACCCGAACAGTCAGAGCACCTGAAATCCAAGAATCCGATCTCTGGAATTTTTTCTATGGGGATAGAGATGATCTCTTCCCCTTCTTGTCACCTCGTTCATCTCCCAACCAACCAACTAGTTTAGCGTCTGAATCCACTAGCACACCTGCTTACCTTTTGTCTCAGTCAGTCTCCGCATCTATTGGCCCTGTTTCCATTAATTCCCGACGTAAGAAACGGCATCGCTTTAAGCCAGCTCTGAGCCATCTAGAAACCGCCGAGTCAGTTCTTAATCGTCTAGAGACCCCTGAGTCAGTTCTGTGCCGTCCAGAGACCCCTGAGCAGACTTTAGAAGAGGTGTCAGAATGTGGGGTGTGTGATTTGATTCTTCTGAGAGTCAATCTGCAGAAGCCTCAGGCCTCCAAGAACTCCCTGCTGGCCCTTCAAGCCACCTCAGAGACCGAACATGAGCCCCCATGGGTGTTTTCCCCTGTTCCTGAGGCGGATCCACAGTCGGTGGGTTCGCATGTTCCTGAGGCGGATCCACAGTCGGTGGGTTCGCATGTTCCTGAGGCGGATCCACAGTCGGTGGGTTCGCATGTTCCTGAGGCGGATCCACAGTCGGTGGGATCCTCCTGATAAGCTGCTTCGCCTCCGGCCCCGCGGCAGACCTCCAGAGCGTCAGCTTCACCTCCGGCCCCGTGGTGGACCCCCAGAGCTTCAGCTTCGCCTCCGGTCCCGCGGCAGACCCCTGGAGCATCATCTTCACCGTCGACCCCGTGGCAGACCCCCAGAGTGTCAGCGTCGCCTTCGACCCCGCTGCCGGCCACCTAAGACTCTGCTCCATTGCCGGATCGTAGGCCGGTCTCCTGAACCTCAACCGTGTCTCCGGCCCGGCGGTGGTCCCCCTAAGACGCTGCTCCACCTTCATCTCAACGGTCGACCTCCTGAGCAGCAACTACGCCTCCGCCGTCGGCCCCACGGTAGGCCACCTGAAACTTTGTCCTGCTGCCGGCCCCATGGCAGGCCACCTGAGACTGTGTCCTGCAGCCGGCCCCACGGCAGGCCACCTGAGACTGTGTCCTGCAGCCGGCCCCACGGCAGGCCACCTGAGACTGTGTCCTGCAGCCGGCCCCACGGCAGGCCACCTGAGACTGTGTCCTGCAGCCGGCCCCACGGCAGGCCACCTGAGACAGTGTCCTGCTGCCGGTCCCTCGGTCGGTCACCTGAGAATCTGTCCCGCTGCCGGTCCCTCGGCCGGCCACCAGAGACTGTGCCCAAGAAAGTTTTTGGGTTTTCCTTTGCTGTCGTCCACCATAAGTGGATCGTTTTTTGTTTTGGACTCTGTTTTTGTTTTCTGCCCTCCTGGCCTGTTTCCCCCTTCGCCCACCCTGGGTGGGTTGTTTTTTGTTTGTTGGACCTTTTTTTCTGTTGGTTCTGGCCCTCCTCGCCCTAGTGCCCCCCTCCGCCCGCCCTGGGTGGGTTGTTTTTGTTTTCTGGACTCTATTTTCTGTTGTCACTGGCCCTCCTCACCCTAGTGCCCCCTCCGCCCACCCTGAGTGGGTTGTTTTTTGGACTTTTTTTTTTTCAGGGGGCGTCTGGAATCCGCCCTTGAGGGGGGGGCTCTGTTGGGATCCTCAGGCTTGCCCACCAGAGGGCTCCGTGTGTGTTCTGCATTTTGGGCTTTACTCAGAGAAAACCCATCCTGACAAGACCTCCACTAAAACCTCTGGAGATAATTTCATTTATATAACAATGAACATTATGGAGAACAGTCAGCATCCTGTTCAGTAGACTGTTGATAAAGAAACAGGGTCTGCAGTCTAAGTTTTCTCTAGATCTGGTGCTGGACAGAGAGCCACAGAAGTTCCTTCTTCCCAACAGTAATCAACTTCAGCAAAAACTACTTTGACAAATCAAACATAAAAAAAAAAACAACAACAAAACATTAAATCCCTTTAAAGTTCAATAGATTATTCTTGAAGAGTTGATCGGACAGGAATTCCAGCATCGGGGCCATGATTAGCATCTCAGCAGAGTTAAGGTCATGGAACAGTAGAATCTCAGTCAAATAGATATCAGTTATTAAAAGTCCCAGTTACTGGTTCTGTTTCACTGTCTCCTCAAACATCTTTCTTTTGCATCATGTCTCATTCTGATTTGACCATGCAAATGAACAGCCTACATATATGGCATGGTTTTATCAGTCAATAGTCAACTGCAGTTCCCAAAGCAGCAGAAGACCCGAGAGCTGCCTTCAAGATAACATAAAGATAGAACAGATTTAAAAGTGGAAGAGAACAAAACCAGAAGTTTCTCTTTTTCAGAGATGGAGTTTAGTAATTTTCAAGCTTTTTAAATTAAATTATTTGCCAGTAATAATTTAAAGTATTTTCCTGTTTCTAGTAAACATATTGCTTTTTGATCTTTCTTTTAATGTACACACTTTTTATTTAGACCAATCTAACACTACAGTTTATTCAACGGAAAAAAACAAGAATTCCACAAAAAGCAATAAAATCCACTAAAGGAAAAATGCACTGGAATCTATTTCTGGATCTTTTGTTTGGTAAGAGAATTGCATTTATACTGCATGTTTTTTTTATTTTAGCCACAATCATCACAGACAATTATAGATGGTTATTACATTACATTTTTTTCAGCTCAGCCCAGTTTGATGGTCTGTCAGCTCTATGAGTATCACTACATTAATGAGGAAAAGACCTGGACTGAAGCTCAGCAGTACTGCAGAGAGAAACACACTGACCTGGCCACAGTGTCTAACATGGCAGACATGAAGAGACTCCTCAGTAACTCAGCAGGAAACATGAATGAAGCTTGGATTGGTCTGTATGATCAGACAGATGGTGTCAGAACATGGTACTGGTCTCTGCCTGGAGTGGAGTTCAATGAGACAAACTGGAAAGAAGGAGAACCAAATGATTATACAAATGAGAACTGTGGATTTATCGGAGAAAAGCTGAAATGGGGAGACATATCTTGTAAAAGCATAAATTATTTCATTTGCTATGATGGTGAGTATAAAAAATATTTACTCCGAGTTTTTAAAATGGATTTTATAGCTCTTTCAGAAATAATGTAAAACGTATGAAAATGGAATTATGATTACTTTACAACAGAGGGGATTTTATGTGTGGTTACCTCAGACAGCATTGTTGACTTTGTCTAACTAAATAATTTTGTGTTGATTCATAGTTTTTCACTTTTTACAGAAAGGAAAACATCAGAGAAATTCTACATGACTGAAGAAAAGAAGACGTGGCTGGAAGCTCAGAGTTACTGTAGAGAGAAACACACAGACCTGATCAGTGGAATGAAGCAGCTACAGGATGGAGAAGTGGGGAAACTGAGGAACACTAAAGGAAATGAAAACTACATATACCTTGGTCTGTTTAGAGACACCTGGAAGTGGTCAGATGGAAGCAGCTTTTCTTTCAGACACTGGAACCTTCAGTTTGAGGATGAGAAATCCAACAGTGGTCAATGTGCCATGACTGTGTTTGATGATGGAGGCAGATGGAAGAATGTCGACTGTAAGGAAGAAAAACCCTTCTTCTGTTATGATGGTGAGTTTTCTGACAATTCTAAAAGTTTTAAGGAAGGAGGTTTTTCTTTCTTGTTTTTGATGGTTGACATCTATTTTCTGTTTCTTTCAATGGGGAGTAAATCTCTTTCAAAGGCAGCTGTGTTTAGTTGTTGTCATGCTGTTTATCATTCTGCCATTTATGCTTTAAAATAAAAAAACACGTTTTGTTGTTCTAGATCTGAGTAATTGAAAGAGGGATTTTTAAACATGTTTGTTGCATCTTTAAAATATGCGTGTGGCTTTTGATGTTTGCAGTCAGAGGTCCATTATAGTGATTCTATTAGATCATTGCTGATGGTTGAGTAACAGTGGAGCACAGGTGCAGCATAGATGCTGTGTGTGAGCTGTGGCTCTGATGATAAAGAACATTTTGACATGTCCTAACAATTTGTAGCAGCCTAGTGTACAAGATAAGAAAACTGTTTTCTACACTACGGTGAATTTAATGGCATTGGGTCATTCTATACATTACTGATAGGATGAGTAGATGCACAACAGGGTGAGAGTAGAACTACATTAACACTCATTGACCTAATATCAAGATAGACATTTTAAAAACACAGAAACTTTGAGATTTTCGTTTCTTGATAAACCACCTTTTATAAATAATTTTAGAAAAAACATTCATAATTTAAAAAAGGACTTTATTCCTTCATTACTTTCATTTAGATAAAGTGATCCTGATCAAAGAAAATAAAACCTGGGAGGATGCCTTATACTACTGCAGAGATCACTACCATGACCTGGTCACCATCACCAGCCTGGATGAGCAGAGATGGATCCAGGAGAAAGCCAAGAACGCCTCGACTGATTATGTCTGGATGGGACTGCGCTACACCTGTACTCTGGATTTCTGGTTCTGGGTCAGTGATGAGGTGGTCAGGTATAAGAACTGGGCCTCAGGGGAACCAGTGGATGACTGTGACATGTCTGGAGCCATGGAGACACGTGGAGAACATAGGTGGAGCAAAATAAATGATCTAAAGGAGTTTAATTTCCTCTGTTCAAAGTCCTAAACCTCATTATATTATCTGATAAAGTTCTTGTATTCATATGATAATTTCTTCACTTCTTTAGGATGTATTCCTTCTTTTTCACAAGCTACCAAATCTCATTTCTGCATCTCAGAAGTAGATTATTTACTTACAATTTATAGATGTTATTTCTAGTAATCTTGCTCTGTATTGTAGAACCAGATTGTCAAAAAGTGCTTTTGATTTTTTATTTTTAAGCTTCATATGACACATTATGTACATGTATCATATTCTGCCTTATGGTAGCTAACCTAAACTTTAAAATGTACTTATTTTTTTTTTTTTTTTTTTGTCAATGTATGTCATTTCAGACTGGAAATATTTTTCTCTCAATAAAATGTTATACTCTTTTAAATTTACTTTTTTCACATTCCTTTATTAGTTTTTTGCATTAAAAAATTCATATATTGAGAACAGATGGAAGAGGCCAGAGTGATATAGTATTAAAAAGACAATAAAGCATGCAGGAAACAAAAAAGGGGAGGCATGCTAATTAACTGAATCTCTACGATCCAAAAACATCTATTTTCATACATATTCTTTACCTGCTAAGACTGTCAAGCTGCTGCTATTTCTGTCTTTAATGTTTGGATTTTATAAAATGATCCAACACATTTTTTATTGAGAAGTCTATGTTAAAAAATACATTTTTTAAATGGAGTCTAGTAGTTATAACATTTAGTAAAAGTAAAACTGAGAATAATAGACAAATGACTAATACAATTTACAAAACTATCGAATAACAGAAGAAAAGTTTAGGAAAAAAAAATTTGAAAACAGTCATCATGGTCCTCCCCCATGGTGCAACTCAAGATGGTATCACCCAATCAGCCATTCAGGCATTTGGTGTGTTCAAATTCGGGGGCTACGTCCTTTGAAGGACCCGACCTACCTGGAATGGATCCTTTGAAGGCCGTGAAAATGAGGAGGCTGAAAGAATTCAGCTATAGATTAGAACAGGTCACCATTTTTTCTTCAAATATTACTCCAAAAATATAAGTAGTTATTACCCACCTCTGACTACATCTTTTGTAAACTGGACCTTGTTATATTGTTTGTATTCTGATAATGAAAAAGAAAAATAAGTATTATTATATGTTTTTAGATAAGTAGTAGTAGAAAGATAAGTAATTTAATTGCAGTTTGCTGTTTCTGTTGTTTGTTTTGCAAAATTATTAGTGAGTGGCGAAGAAAGTCAGTTTCCCTTCAAAGGCTTTATCGTCTTTCCACCAACACCTGTCTTTGGTCAAAATGCCCGGCCAGTTTTTGTCTTTACAGATATCTGCTAATCACTCCGTGGCTTTATCAAAAACAAAAGCTGGTTCATCCAAAGCATGTTTCACCAGTTAATGAAAAAATTGATTGCTGGTCACAATGATCCAGGTAATGCACAGGTTTGTATGATTTTGCATTGGTCCATGTGGTTGTTTTGAGCTGCAGGGTTTCTATACACCAATTAATGCCGAGCTGCAAATAAATGTCACGTTTTTGAGAAACGTTCAGAAATAGTAATTACTTGTATATTACTTTGTGATCAAACTGGCTTTATAAAGGGAAGGCATTCATGCACACAGGTTAACACATCTAATAGACTACTGAAAAAAACAAAAACATTAAAAACAGCATAAGTTACATAAGATCCATGATTTGATAGAGTTGGATGGAAGTCCTGATTTCCATCTCTGCAAAATTTTGGTGTAGAAAAAAGGATCAGAAATTGATTGAAAAATCCTATATAGTTCTTCAACAGCATATATTACAACAAATATTCAGACTTCTTCCAGCTTTTGCAGAATTTTTGAGAGGCACTAGACAAGGATGCTCCACCTCAATTTTTTTTAGCTATAGCTGCAGTAATCAGGCGAAGATAATAAAGGATTAAAATGAAAGAACATAGAACAATGATGGTTCAAAATGACTGAATATGGATTTAAATTTCTTCTGTTCTATGTCCTGAAGCTCATGATACTATCAGATATTAGTACTTTTCATTCACTTATTCAGTTCTTTAGGATGTATTAATCTGAAAGATGATTTCTAATGATGTTAGAGACCATGATTTTCAAAAAATACAGTTTAGTTTTTTTCAGGTTTCATGTTACTCACTTTTATCTATATATAGCCTATCACATTTTCTCAAATGGAAATTACACTGCAAAATCCAATTAGTTATCATTATGTTGAGTTTTGCAGGTTTACTAGCGTTGAACTCAGGCAAAACAAAGACACGGAGGCAATCTCTACTTTAGCCTTATTGGCCTAGTCATTAATCAGGCTCACAGAAAAAGCAGGTGCTTGATACAGAGAAGGAGAGGCAGAGAGAGGAAAACAAAAATGCACTGGCACTATTTTGCCAGTCTCACAGCGACACACTGTGGCGTAATCAGATAAGATGTTTTTACATGTTCTTTGACTTCGATTGCAGGTCCAGCAGATTCTGAAACAGTTTTTTCCCAAGCGCCATCAGACTACTGAACTGTTGAAAAAACTCAAAATCATGTCAGAATCTGCATCACACTGATAACACCAAACCAAAAATACTGCAAATTTGGACAATATCTGAACTTCAATATCAATAAGTTTATGGAACTCCCACTCTGCAAAATCTGTTACTTCAATCACTGACGTTATGCTCTTTCTGCTTTTCTTCATAGTAGCTTCACCTGGTCTGTTCCTGTTTGGCTGTGACACAATCATGGAGACAAATATCAGCTGTGCTCCTACCATCAAAATCTATGTCTAAAGGTTTTGGAGCTTGGTCTGTTTTTCAGTGTAGTCCTGTTTCTCTGACTGTGACTGGCTGCATGTGTTCTCTTCATTCTCTGACATGGGAGTTGGCTCGGAGCTCGTCTGCCTGGCTTTGCGTTTCCTGGATGGGTCGCCTTTTACAGTTGCCTTTTGTATCTCTGCTTCTGTCTCCTTGAACCCCAGTCAGCCTTGTCAGATGGCTGCTCACACTGAGCAGGAGGTTTCTTCCTTTTAAAATGGAGATTTTCCTCTCCACTGTTCCACATGCTTAGTGTGAGGGATTGGCTTCGTCAATGAGTCGATGCAATCAACTGGTTTTCCTTAGATAGAAAACTTTGAATCAGTTTGACTGGATGACCTGGTGAACTGTAAAGTGCCTTGAGATGACGTGTTGTGAATTGGTGCTATAGAAATATTGAACTGAAATGAACTGAACCATGTTTTTTTTTTCTCCCACACTGTATAATTTACTAACTGGAAAGCTGTACTAAACAAAAGTTTATTTTGTATACACTCTGTGTTTGCAAAATGACAATAACAGTTGTCTAAGTCTAGTTAAGAACACATACTTCCCATAATCAGGACAAAAGTAGTGTTGTAACAAAGAAAAAAATTTGCTACATTCCACCTGAAAATACAGGAAATAGTGTTTCAACGAGACTGAATTTAAAAATGTTCCAAAGGAAAATACACGCGGACCCCCCTTAGCTGCGCAAAACATAAATATGTCATACACCAGGGTGTACACCCTATGAAATAATCCTAGCTAAAAGCCTGTTCATGGATTAATGGTTTTTACAGGATGTTCAGAAAAATGTATGTCATCATCTTTATTTAGTGGGTGGGGTTTCATTTAGTTTTTGGGCTGGAAACAGGCAGATCTGACAACCCTGACAGTGAAGGATGGGTGGAGTTTCTTGCTATTGATTTAAGATAATATTAGATTATTTCTTTTAACAGTGGTGGAGAAAATCCACATTGTGTTTTCTACCACCGCTGCTGCGGTCATATTAGCCCTTACCCTCTGCCACAGAGTCTGACTCTGTAGGGTAGAGATTAGCTCTGTGTGCTTCTGATGTTTAAGGTATGATGCCTCCATATTCCTCAGCCTCACTACCCTCTCCTGAGCTTAAACTGGCTGATGGTCCAACTAACAAACCGAGTCTAGCCTAGATGTTCTGGAACGACCATCAATGTTTCCATCCATCTCCATTACAGAATACTGAGCTAGCTCCAAAACTATTCTCCCTCTGATGTCACCACACAGAGATGGGTTTATCTAGCTATAGATCAGAGTGCTGCTGTGAAGCTACTAAATGTAGGATATTTGTGTCCAAAATAAACTCTTTGATTCATCATAATCAGCTATACTGTATGTCCCCCGGCATGATATTAATGCAAATTTACATGATATCAGTATTGTGTCATGAACACTTAAGCTTAACAGCTGATTCCTGGCAAATTCATCTTTAATGTTTTGCTATTCAAATGCTGACATCTGCGTTATGGCATGTAGGCTATAAACTAAAAAGGTTAAATATAACACTGACTTCCATGAGCAGAAAATACAAACGACTTCTGTATTTAAGCAGGTAGGAGGAAATTAATAGCAGCAGAAAGATTTTATTATTTTTTTTATCAAACTATAATTAGATAATAACTTTATTTACATAATAAAATATAAATCTATATTATTACCTAATCACTTAGTTTAAAACAACCATTTTGTCAGTCAGAATTTAATATATGCAAATATACTTACATCATGTTATTAAAAAAGCATCTTTCTAGACTCTGACAGTCATTTTTTTCTCAGGTAACATCCCAATACCATTGAGAGGAACTACTGGAGCCGTAAATGTCTGTATTTGTAATTTAAATTGTACCTCTGCACCCTTGAACATCAGTCTTGTTCTTCTAGGGAGTTCACGTGTTTTATAATAGTAGTTTAAAGCAGCATTTTATATTAAAATATAATAACCATCTGCAGGTTTTTCTGAAGAGAATTAGAAAACAGCTGGTAATTCAGAACAGATTCAGCAGCTCAATTCTCTACTTTTGCTATAATCCCAAAATGAATATGAAATTTAAGCTTTTTCCCATGAAGAACTCATTAAGAGTGAGGGTTTTATTAGGAAAAGAGCAAAACCTAAACAAATTGGTTATGATCAGTAAAATTAAGGCACTGTTTCAGTAACAGCAACTGTAGAGGAATTGACAGCAGAAAGCAGCTGTGGTCACATCTTCTCCAGCTGTGCTGAGTGGTCAGTCAGTGATCAGATGCAGAGGAAGGACCACCATCCCAGCAGAGTAAATAATATGGGATAGAAGAATCTTCTTCCATCATAGAAGCAAAGGCGAGGCTCTGGATGGAAAATGGCCACAAGTAGAAAATTAAACCACTCAAGGAGAAAATTATATAAGCTTTTGTTTTATCATATGCTTTTGAAGGACAGATATCAACAGTGGGGTGAGGGAATAAGGTGAGCTGCTCATTCTGAATAACCTTTAGTCTTTGACTCTGTGTTGGTCCTGTGATGAACGGCTGACCTGTCCAGGATTCAGCTGACTGCTGTAGACCCTCATTGGTCCACCCCCTCCCCCAGACTAGATTTAGTCTCGATCAGAAACAGAGAATGGACGAATGCTTTCCCTGTTGACATATTGACCCACCTCTATGACAGACGTTGAATCAGAGTAAATAATTATACAGAGTATTAATATTAGTAGATATTTGTAGAATAAACTAAAATAAAATAGCCTCCATTGGTGTTTCGGTTTCTCTTCACACAATGTGCCATTTCAACCAGGTTATTAATGCAAATTAAGTACACATCCAAAGAGAATTTGTTTTTTTTATTAAATATTCAGATGCAGTTCCTGAGGCATAAAACAGATGTGTTTGAAACAGGAGTAAACATTTCCTGAGAAGTTTCTTCAGCGGAACATTGAGATTAAACTGGTTCAAAATCTGAGGGAGAAAATAAACCCAGAAGTAAGTTTCTGCTTTTTCGAGATAGAGGTCTTGTATTTTCTTTCTTTTTTATCTAGGGATTATTAATCCTAATTTTAATGTATTCTACTGTTTTCAGACCATATTAACATGTTTGCTTTATCTTTTTTTACTTTTAACTACGAGAGGGGATTAGGCTTCAATATATGTTTTTATATGTTTACACAAAAATGTAAAAACTATCATTATTCCAACAGAGAAAAACATTTTACACCAAAAATACCGATAGAAGAATCCACATATGAGGAACAATGCAGTGGGAGCTATTTCTGCTTACTTTGTTCGGTAAGAAACTTTAGATTAATGCTGCAGTCGATCATTTTGGCTAAAATCACAGGCCATTATAGATGGTAATTACATTTCTATGTATTTGTTGTTTTTTCAGCTCAGCCAAGTTTGATCGTCTGTCACCTCTATGAGTATCACTGCATTAATGAGGAAAAAAACTGGACTGAAGCTCAGCAGTACTGCAAAGAGAAACACACTGACCTGGCCACAGTGTCTAACATGGCAGACATGAAGAGACTCCTCAATAACTCAGCAGGAAACATGACAGAAGCTTGGATTGGTCTGTATGATCAGACAGATGGTATCAGAACATGGTACTGGTCACTGCCTGGAGTGGAGTTCAATGAAAGTGAGACAAACTGGAACCAAGGAGAACCAAATGATGTGAATACTGAGAACTGTGTTGGCACAGTAAAAAATAAACCTAAATGGAATGACATATCTTGTGACAAACAATTGTATTTTCTCTGCTATGATGGTGCGTATGAAAAGCTTTTTTACTAAACTATAAGCTTTAAAAACATATCTTTCACTCCAAGAAATATCTTTAGGATTATATTGATCAGAATTTATTTCCACACTATAAAATTTGATTTTCTCTCTGCTGACACAGACAGAACTTCTAACATTTATAATTTAAACTTCCCCTTGCTGATTCATAGAGTTCTTCATTCTGATATATTTATTATTTCACAGAAAGTAAAACAACAGAGAAATTCTACCTAATTAAAGAAAAGAAGACCTGGCTGGAAGCTCAGAGTTACTGCAGAGAGAAACACAAAGACCTGATCAGTGGAATGAAGCAGCTGGAGGATTTTCTACCTGTAGATGAAAATGTGTTTATTGGTCTGTACAGAGACACCTGGAAGTGGTCAGATGGAAGCAGCTTTTCTTTCAGACACTGGAACCTTCAGTTTGATGATGAGAATTACAACAGTGGTCAATGTGCCATGACTGTGTTTGATGATGGAGGCAGATGGAAGAATGACAACTGTTCCATCAGAAAACCCTTCATCTGTTATGATGGTGAGTTTTCTGACAATTCTAAAAAAACTTTAAATGATTGAGGCCCGTCTTTCCATTTAAACAGCTTAAAAGAATATTTAATTCTTCTTTGAAAGCAAAAAAAAAAAAAATTCTCCTTCAAAGACACAGAGGGCCGGATTTATCAAGATCCAATTTTGCGTGCAGTAATTTGCGCTCGCAAACTGGAATTTTGCGCGAGGGGCTGAACCATGGTTTGCGGGTGATTTAACAAGAGTGATTACGTAACTAGTGGCAGGTGCAAAACTGTTGGAGACACCCTATTTAAATGATGGTTTGCGCGTTTTGTGGTTTGCGGCAAAGTAGTTTGTAGTTTGTACAAACTAGTGCATTAAGAAATTTAAAACTTACAGTGATCCCCAAAAAAAAAAAAATAAATAAATAATATATATATATATATATATATATATATATATATATATATATATATATATATATATATATATATATATATATATATATATATATATATATATATATATATATATATATATATATATATATATATATATATATATAAAGAAAAAACTTCGGCAACCCTTATTCCCTAAGGTGGTGTGTGGCTGAATTTCTACTTCACTGCTGTAAAAAAAAAAAAAAAAACAAACAAAAAAAACAAGTGTTTTGTATTGGCCTGTAGAAAAATGCACATACCAAATGGCTCACAAGAAGTGACTGTGAATGACATTACTGTGCGTACGCATACCCGCAGCATTGGCACGTTGCTCCACAGGCACAGGGGGAGAACTCCGACCCCGTCGGACAGCACTTCTGAAAAAACGAGATTGGGAGATCCCAGCTCTCGCTGCAACCGTACGCTGGAATGACCCAGATGCAAAAAAGTGCAACGTTGCAAGGAGTTTTGTGATATCCGGTATTGCGTGGGTCCTCCATGTGCCTGGCTCCAATTCCATTCTGAGTTCCCCCAACAGCTCCAAAATGGCAATGCTGGATAAACGATATGTTTTGATGATCGTTTCCTCATTCATTGCAAAAATATTCACACGGAGTGAAAAAATGCGTTCTCTGCGTCTCCTTGCTTCATTTCGATGTCTCCTTCTTGCGACAATAACCGCTGCCATGTGTGCGCAATTACGCATACAGACCATTTGCACCTTCTTTTGAAACGTGTTAAATATAGAGTCAGATACCGTTAGCAAAATTGTTTTTAGGTTTAATAAATCACTTTGCGAGTGCTAAATTAATATATTTACATGTTCTCCTCCCACAAGACGCACTTTAGCGTGTAAACGCCCCATATTGCATATTCATTGCAGAAAAAGTACTAAATGGATAAGAGGTGCTATTTAGCACACTTTAAAGACCAAATCCTTTTAGCACGCTTTTGATTGATCAGTTTGTACATTTTTTAGCGTGCGGAGTGAAATAGCTCATGTTTTTATAAACGCAAACCTTTGATAGATCCGGCCCTGAGTGTTCAGCTGCCATCTTACTGTTAATATTTCTGCTTATTGCTGGAAAATCTTTAAAAAATGTTTCTGTTGAAATATGACAAAATTAAGGATATTTTGGGTCAAATGATGGTCTGCTGTTTCCATCTAGAGCTGAGGTCTTTAACAGGCGATCTGCGGCCCCTATGGGGGCCATGGAGGTACAGTACTGCATGGGGATCCCAAGTTTTGGTTGATTAGACTTTTTTTTATATTCTCCCTGCAATTTTTTCCCACTAATTGAAATGACTTTAAATACACATTAACATAAATTCAACACACTGTAGTAAACAGATAAATGGAGGCAGAAGATGTCTTTCAGTCATCAATGCACACATTCAGAGACACACAGGAGCTCTTTCAAGCTGGACACTGTTTCATTCACAACACCTGTCTCAACCAGGAATCAGGATCAGAAATACTTTAATAATCCCGTTACATGACTCCATCTGTAATAGAGTGACTATAGGATCAGTTTGATATAACACGATTTCATATAGTATTTATAATTAGGGGGTCCCCGCTCCATCTAGCCATCAGTTTGGGGGTCCTTTCCTGGAAAACGTTGAAGACCCCTGATCTATAGCGTTCATGTATTTAAATGAATAGTATTGAATTCACAGCCTTCTGATTCATCATTACAGGGTATATTATTTTGCTGAATGTGAAACTATTTTTGCCTTTCATCCCCTTTTTTCATAACCAGGGATCAACTGACCATTGTGGAATGAAATTTTAATGTTCTGAAAGTTTCTTAAAGTGATCAGATAATAATTATCTAAAATAATGAATCTTCCATGATGTACTAAGCTAATTTTCCTCTGTGGACACAGACACATCACTTTCAGTGTTTAAAGCCATTTTTAGATAATTGCTGGTAGCTGAGTAACAGTGGAACATGGTGTGTAGAAAACATGGTGTGTGTGAGCTGTGGTCCTCATGCTGCTGAATATTTTGACAAGTCTGAATAATCTGTGGCAGCCTGGGTTATAAGGTGATATAGTGTGTGTTATCCAGATGGTACAGGAAATATAAAGTCAAGATAATATAACCAAAAACTAGAGATATTTATTTTGTTTTCAATAGAGTTTATGCATTTAACAAATACATTTATGAGATTATCTGTTCATTATTTCTTTCTTTCAGATAAAGTGATCTTGATTAAAGAAAATAAAACCTGGGAGGATGCCTTATACTACTGCAGAGATCACTACCATGACCTGGTCACCATCACCAACCTGGATGAGCAGAGATGGATCCAGGAGAAAGCCAAGAAGGCCTCGACTGATCATGTCTGGATGGGACTGCGCTACGCCTGCACTCTAGATTTGTGGTTCTGGGTTAATGACAAAGTGGTCAGGTATAAGAACTGGGCCTCAGGGGAACCAGTGGATGACTGTGACATGTCTGGAGCCATGGAGACAGGAGGAGGACATAGGTGGAAAAAAATGAATGATCTAAAGGAGTTTAATTTCCTCTGTTCAAAGCCCTGAAGCTCATCATATTATCTGATAAAGTTCTTGTTATTCATATGATAATTTCTTCACTTCTTTAGGATGTATTCCTTCTTTTTCACTACCAAATCTAATTTCTGCATCTCAGAACTAGATTATTTATTTAGAAGTACTTTTTACTGTTGCTATTTTTGTTTCTAAGTTTCCAAGGCCTCTATCACATATATTGAACTTATTAAGAGAATAAAATGTGATATATTTTCTTCTATTTACTAATATATTTAATTATTTTTAAAACTAATGAAGTAATATTCTATTCTATCCTAAGTCTTATATAAGAAAAAGATTATTTTATTTTAAAGTTACTTTAATCTCCAATCATTTTATTGATATTTAAGGATGCATTTTTCTCCATTTAATAGGATTTTATTGAATAAATTGACAAATTAAAACTAAAACTTCAAATTGTGGATTGTGACACTGACTGTGTTGTTCAGATAATCCTACAGGGCTGCTTCTAGCATTTTGGGGCCCTAAGCTCTAATGCTCTGTATTTATGATGGAGGGGTTACAGACATGTGTGGACCTATAAACTGTGATGAGTTCTATCAGGTTAAACCTTCAAAATCTAAGGACTGCTATCTGTGAGTTTTTTGCATTTTTTTATTTTACTCTACTTAATCATTTCAAAATGGAATGGCTGTGTGTCTGAAAAATTGTGACTAAATTATTAAGAGAATTGTAAGATGATTCTTTTTTGGTGTTTACTTCAAAGCCTAACAGTCCATAACTAAGAAATTAAATTTTATTGTTTTGCTATTTAAGTACTGAAATGTGTGTTTTACACACAGCATGTGGCCTAGAAAGCCAAAAGGTTAAATATAGCACTGATGGATTTCCATGAGCAGAAACTAACAACAGCTCTGTTAAAGCAGGATGGGGGAAATTAAGAGAAAGAAAGAGTTTAGTCTGATTCTGTTTTTCTATCAAACTGAGTTTAAATGATAAAATATATAAGAGACATAATACACACAGTCAGCTCTAGAGCTCAGACAGGCCTGTAACGGTGTGAGGGACCAAACTTGAATAAGGACAAAAGGTGTAAAAAAAATAAAAAAAACCTTTATCATCAACTTTTTATTTAATAATGTCAAAAATAACTAACAGAGGTTCAGAGGCAATAAAAATAGCAATTGTAGAGGAATTGCAGCAGAAAGCAGCTGTGGTCACATCTTCTCCAGCTGTGCTGTGGTCAGTCAGTGATCAAATGAGATGTGCAGCAGCAGAAGCAGGACCACCATCCCAGCAGAGTAGATCACATGAAATAAAAGAATCTCCCTCCATCATGGAAGCAAAGCTGTGGCTCTGGATGGAAAATGGCTGCAAGTAGAAAACAGTGGGGTGAGGGAATAAGGTGAGCTGCTCATTCTGAATAACTCTAAGTGAAAGGTCTATGACTCTGGCGCATAATACTGCTCTTGACAATTTAAAGCTATTATAGACACTTAATGGAAGAGTAAATATTCTCTTATTTTCAGTCAATGTATGATGGCTTGCAGCTCTATGATAGTAACTATAATAACGAGGGAAGGACCTGGACTGAAGCTCAGCAGAGAGAAACACACTGACTCTGTGCGTGTGTACACATATATTATATACTTTATATTAATCTTTGATTAACCATTCACTTACTTTCTGAATTGGTACGTTCAAATTGTTATTAATATTTTCTTAACAGATAAAAACCTCCCCTCTGTGGGCACCTTACCCATATTTAACAGATGCTCCAGCAGTTGGATTTCAGCTTATGTTTTCTTCGGCAGAATTATCATGTTTTACTCTTTGAATAATCATGTTTTTCTTTACAGGAGGATTTAGGGACTGAAAAATATCTCAGTTTGAGTTACATCTCTGTTTTTTTTTTTTATGTTTAAAAAGTCCATAACTGACTTTTTTTAAGTTAGTGTGAGTGTTTGGCTTTAATTAAAATCTGTCTGAACACCTGGAGTGTGAAGTTTCTTGGCTTTTGTGTCTGGGCTTTTTGTTCAAACCAGCAGTCCAATTGAGGGTACCCGGCACAGTCCTTCCACCCTCCGGATGGTAGCTGGTGCCAGTGCACCCCCCCCCAATCAACCACCCAGAAACGTCTATGTCGAGAAGAGCTGGAGGGAGCCATCCCAGGTGAGGCTCACACAATAAGCCTCCCCCCAAAGGTGTCCTTACCCCTTAGAAGCTCTTACTGTTGCGAATCAACACCAGCTAGCAATATTCTTTCTTCTCACTCCAGGCCAGGGGCTAAATGTTGAGCTCCCCCCACAGGTTTGGTGGGAGACAGTTCAGTAGATATCAGCAGCTTATAACCCAGTGCGGCATAAATATGAACATTTTAAGTTTAAAAAAATGTTAGCAGGAACGGCTTACAATGAGGTAAGCTCTATAGTCCGTAAAGTACGGTATTCAGAAGTGGAGCCCCTGGCCAGAAAAATCTGTGTCCCTATGGTCATCTTAGTCTTTGTCACACTATGGATAAAGCTCATATTATATTGCTGTATGTATACTCTGTACGCAGAAGTGAGTTTTAATCAGCTTCACCATAATCCCACCTCACTTAATCACACCGCTGTCCAAATGACCCTCTGCCATAGTTTAATTAATTCAATTCAATTCAGTTTAATTATAAATCGCCAATTCACAACACAAGTCATCTCAAGGCACTTTACAGTTGGTCACATTATACAGTCAGATTGATTCAAAGTATTCTATCTAAGGAAAACCAGTTGATTGCATCGACTCATTGACTCTTCAGCTGAACCTCCAGCAGAACCAGGCTCAGTGTGAGCGGCCCTATGCCAAGGCCAACTGGGGTTCAAAGAGACAGAAGTAGAGATACAAAAGGCAACTATAAAAGGTGGCCCAATCCAGAAAACACACAGCCAGGCAGGTGAGCTCTGAGCCAACTCCCTTGTCAGAGGATAAAAGGAGCCAGTCACGGTCAGAGAAACAGGACTTCAGTGAATAACAGGTATATCTCGAACATCTATAAACAAAAATGTTGATGCAGCAGTACAACTGATATTTTTTTTCAGGATCGTGTCACAGTCAAACAGGAACAGACGAGGCAAAGCTGATTCTGCAGATTGGGAAATAGTGATAGAATGAAGCAGGAAATAGGAAAGGGGAAGGAAAATCATTTATTAAGAGGAAAGAAATTGAAAAATGGCAAAAAAAAAAGGTGGAATGAAGATAAAAAGGAAGAACGTTATATAAAGTACAAAAGTCAGTATTAAATAGAAATATTAATGAGAGAAACCGAAGGGAAGAAATAATAATGATCAGATTAAGAGTAGGTCATACTTATTTAAATGACAATTTATACTTAATAGGGAGGAAAAATAATGATAAATGTGAAGGATGTGGAGAGATAGAAAATATAGAACACGTATTGATGAACTGTAAAACATCTGGACCTGAAAGGAAGAAATTGAAAAGAGGACAGGCCAAGAATGGAGTCTTAAAGGATTATTGGGAAATAAAGGAAATATAAAAGACATTTATAGATTAAGGAAAGCATTATTTATTTATCTTCAGAATACAAAATTAAAAAATAGAATTTAATAGATGTAAAACAATGTTGCTACACACTCATGAACAGTAGGTGGCGGTATGCACGCCCCTTCCCTAGAGCCCGGTGGGACCGAAAACATTTTGAATGGAAATCAATGGGGAGAAATGAATAAACTTCTGGTCCCAGTCGCTCTCTGTCACTGATTCCAGATATGCTGGTTGTGTATTCAAATTGTTTTTTGTTTTTTTTTAGTTCCTCTTTGGTCAAAATCTGGTCAAAATCCATCAATGAGATCGCACCAAACAGGAAGTTAAATTCACAAGGGATCCGGTAGATTTCCAAATAAAATACACCCGATCTTAACCCATGATCCTTTTTTTAACTAGTTTAATTAGTTTCTCCCGTATGCCACGACGTAATGCATTGATCTGAAAATCAACCTCAGACGCAACGCACGCAGTGGCGAGGGTTTGATCCGTCAGATGGAGTTAAATCACAAAGAATTCAATGTTGAATCGGGTCGGCAGCTAAATGCTAGGCGATGGGTAGCAGCCAAAACGTTGCAATTTCACATAATCCTGACGAGATCCGAAAAACCGTAGCAAAAACTAGCAAGCGGGTGATTATGTATGCTCTCTGTCATTGATTCCAGATATGCTGGTTGTGTATTTAAATTTTTTTTTTTTTTTTTTTTTAGTTCCTCTTTGGTCAAAATCTGGTCAAAACCCATCAATGAGATCGCACCAAACAGGAAGTTAAATGCACAAAGGATCCGGTAGATTTCCAAATAAAACACATCCGATCTTAACCCATGATCCTTTTTTTAACTAGTTTAATTAGTTTCTCCCGTATGCCACGACGTAATGCATTGATCTGAAAATCTATGGCAAGCCAAGAAGGTCATATTTCGCATTGAATTGTCGCGTTAAGATTGAAGTTAACCCGCAAAAAACGCGCGTTCTCCCGAGATTACGCCGCTTTTTACGCCGTCTTTTACCAACATGCGCCGCCTTTTACGCACGCAGTGGCGAGGGTTTGATCCGTCAGATGGAGTTAAATCACAAAGAATTCAATGTTGAATCGGGGCGGCAGCTAAATGCTAGGCGATGGGTAGCAGCCAAAACGTTGCAATTTCACATAATCCTGACGAGATCCGAAAAACGTAGCAAAAACTAGCAAGCGGGTGATTATGTATGTTCACTAAGTAAATATTATGTAAATAAACCCTACACTTCTCACTATAAATGTAATCAAAACCCATTTAAATGCAGAAACTGATTGAAATTATTGATTTTCCCACTAAAAGTTAGAGAAATCTCAGCCATGTTTATACCAAAATGTTACAGTTTCAAATTATGTTGAAAAATCTTTGCAAGAAACGGACAAGCAAGTGAATATGTACATTCCCTGAGTAAATATTCTGGCAACAAACTATACACTTCTCACTAGAAATGTAATCAAAACTCATTTTAATGCAAAAACAAACTCAAGTTATTAATCTTTCCACAAAAAAATGAACGAATGTCGGCCATCTATATATATTTTTTTCTTCTCCCAGCTGAAATCTTGAAAGTCACGTGACTAGGACGTAAAACAATAGAAAGCGTATAGGCAGAAGAAACGTAACAGTACCACAAAAAAATGGCCATTAATGTACCTCCACTACGTTTTGCAGTGTGGACCAACGTAGTGGGGGTACATTTTCCCATGAGACTGGGTTGGCCAGTGAGAGTTTTCAGGTGAAAAAGGCAGAGAGATAGAACTTTTTATCTGTATCGGAGTGCTGGGAGAGAACCTCACCCGCCCCCATGTTAGAGGTATTGATCTCCAGCATGAACTGTTTCTGTGTATCTGGGTGTACGATGACGGATGCCTGGGAGAACCTTCTCTTTAGTTCTGTGAATGCAGAGTTAGCATCTTAGACGTGAGAGAGTGCAGAGGGGCAGCGATCTGACTGTATCCTCTGATGAAGCACTGATAGAAATTAGCAAAGCCGAGGAAGCGCTGAAGCTGCTTCCGTGTCTCAGGCTTAGGCCAGTCAAGGACTGCCCTGATCCTTTTTGGGTCGAATTGGACCACACCACTTTCTAAAATAAGTTAAAGGAAGATAATAGAAGGCTTATGAAATTCATAGCTTTACAAACAGACGGCTTTAGGGAAGGCGTCGGAACACCAGACGTACATGGTGTTGGTGCTCGGCAAGGTCACAGGAGTAAATCCTGATGTTGTCAATGTAGATTAACACAAAGAAGAAGGACCGATCACTAATGCTTGGTAAACAGATGGGGATTTGCAAAGTCAAAAGGGCATCACCAGATACTGAAATTGACCCAGGGGGTTCTTTAACACTGTCTGCCCCCCCAAAACCACAACACCCAACCCCCACTCATTTTCCCAGTTAAGGGAAAATGACTATGTTCTGGAACAGCTCTGGTGCAAATGAGAGGAGAGAAAGACGATATCAAGGAGAGAAAGGACCGGCTGGCACATAGATCTGTCCGACCGGCTTTGTCCCCTGCTTTTTAATTGGTTATCTAACCGGTTCCATCCTTGAGAGACTCGTCGAGGGCTCGGTTAAACACCGTCTTAAGGGCACGCGGCTCCCAGCCAGCAGTTGCCACTAAGGAGTGGAACTCCAGAGAGAAATCAGAAACACAGCGTCCAAAAGGGCAAACAGTTAACAAGCGCAGGGTAAATAGATTTTTGGCTTTATCTGGGGTGCAAGTTCGTGGAGACTGATTGAAAATGAGCAAGCAATGAAATAAAAATCCTGCAAACTCCCAACTGTCTCATGAAAATGTCTACAGGCTGGGAAAGGAGGTTTCATTAGACTTTGACCTAGACAGATCTATTTTGTAATTTTGTATAGACAAGTGTAAACAAACAGAAATTTCGTTTAGAACAGCTCTCTAGACAATTTCATTTTTTAAAGTGCAGCCTTGATAAGGTAAGCAGCAGTTGTTGTTGAGCTGCTACTACTGCCTCCAGCTCCTGGAACACTCGCTTCTCCTGGCTCAGGGAAGGGAGAGGACAATGATGATGATGTTGTAAGGGTGGTAGCCCCCTGGGTTGAAGAGGCTTACGTGGTTGAAGCAGTAGTGGTGCCATCGGCAGGTTTAGCAGTAAAAGACAATGCTGGAGAAAGTGTGGAAGCCGGAGGTTGCCGGGAGGAGCCGGCTGAGGATGTTTCAGCATTTGGCAGGAAGGCATCAAGAGTGCTATCCTCATTTTCAGCTGCAGAGGGCTGTCCCTGTGATTGCCTGGGAACAGTCTGGAGCAGTCTTGGAAAGCAGGATTGATGGAAGCGGCGTTATGTGGGGATTTCTCTTTAGGTCGCAGTCAGCCCCCCCTCTGCAATCCCACTTTCTCCGTCTTGCGCATGACTTCTTCGCTCCGTTATTTTCTGCTGTTTTGTCGACATCCGTCCGTAGCACTCTGCAGCTTATTAAACGGTCAAAAATGTCAGTATTTAAAACATTTTGCGACCATATCTCCAGCAGGTGTGTGCCATACTAGATGCGGATTTGATCTCTAGTTCGTATCGTTTTAAGCGGCAAATTTTGTGAAACTGTCAAGAGTGGTTCAATGCGTGCAGCACAAAGCTGAATAATAACAATGGTCCTATTTTTTTTAAGTTTGGACACAGATTTTGTTTTATTACACTACCTAAAGCTGAAAAAAAATACAGCTCAGAAAAGGCATTGGGGATTATTTTAGCTTGAAAAGCGGCAGGTTCACTATTTTTTTTATAGATTTTTATGTTATTTTAGGTTTATAAATGTTACATTTTGTTATCTACACTATTTCTGAAAAAAAAAGTGGAAAATACTTGCTTCATAAATGTTTTGTGGCCACCAAAATGCCTCAGTGTTGTTCTATGGGTCTAATAGTTGAGTAAAAGCACTTGGCGCAATTTGGCACATTTGGAGAGATTTGGAGAAGCTGGTGAAACCAAAAGTTCAAATCCCGACAGCTCTGGAACTGTTGTAGCTAGAGGTGTGAAGTTTTCTGCATTTTTGGATGACATGATTTAGAACAAATGTAATGCAATGAAACATGCCTAATCTCAAGCATGTCTTCATTACAGCTGTTCAAAAAAGACCTATTATTTTAAAGAAAAAAATAAAAACTTTGGGTCATGTTTGAACTGATGCAGCTTGGGCTGTGTTTTACTCACCCAATTTTCTTCATTTTCTTTGTTTATATATTCAGAAACTAGAAGGTGTTAGTTTTCAAATGATGTATCACACATGTAATTTGGGCTTATAATTCCTAGTTTATTTACTTTTCCATTGCGTATGCAAAATAGACAAGGATTACTTTAAAATTGGTCCACATGCAGATCACACTTGGGAGGCAAAGGCAGTTTAAGGCGCTAATTAAATTAATGACAGGAGAAATAGAAAAGGGTTCTCCACAGCGAAGACCTGCCAAGGGAGTACGTGTGACCAGGGCTTGTTTGATCTACTGTTGAGAGGTAGGTAGTTAGACATAGCACAGGATAATGGTAGAGAGAGAGAGAGAGAAGTGCTTACCGCCAAGCATGGGGACCAAGCCAGGGGGAGTGAAGCAGAGAGACGGACCTAGTTTGTGGCTCCCAGCAGTAACTGAGAGGCTGGTGGGCAGGCCAGTGGCACAGAACAGGATCTAAGCAGCATGTGTGGTCGAAGTGGTAATCTGTGGACAGCTATAGGTGCAATGGGAGATCACGATGAGTCCTCATCCCGGCTTGGTAACACCAAAGGGAACTCAGAGTGAAATCCCAGAAGGAAGCCCACCTGCCCACCTGCCAAAGACAGTCGCCTCTGGAGAAGGGAGAAAGCAGAGAAGGCGGGGCCGGCTGTGTTCTGACAAATATAATCAACAAAATATTTTGTTCTGACAAAAAAAAGGTTTTAAGGTCAAACAAACTAAGTGAAACACCTATAAACTACTCAAATAAATAAAGTAATAACTTTGATTCAAATGCAAATTAGATCAGTCGATAAGGTGATAGCAAACTATGATGACAAACCTTGAAACCAATTCAATTTTGATTCATTTCAATTTATTTACAGGGCTCTTTCACAAGACATTTCATGCCACTTTATACAAGCATTTCAATCAGATTATGCAGTTAGATTGGTAAAACATTTAGGGTAAACTGGCTGATTGCAATAAGTTTCTGTCTTGCAGGACCTGCTTCTTCTGGATCTTTTGTGTAGACCAAAGATATTAACTTGTATACACCCATGGTAGACCTGGAAGAGAGGGGCCCTTGGGTGCACAAACCCTACATTCAATCCCCATATGAATTAGACAGTGACCATCAAAGCACCTAGACAGCCGTAGGGGTTATTGATTAAGTATCTAATGAAATATTTTTTTGCCAAAAAATCTGCTTCTTTGATTTTTATTGTGAATTGATTTGATCACGTTCTAAATTCTTCAAGATTAAGGATATCATTGCATAATTGTATTGATTATGGTTTTCAACCTTGATTTTCCCTTCTTCTTTGTATATATATTAGTTTAACTTATCTGAGTTTCACTAGTATACTCAAAGATTTTACATAAACTATGTCTGACTTAAGGTTGAATGATTTTTGTTAGTAAAGTTTCTTCCATATTATGTGCACTATTATCTGTTTGACGATGATTTGAGCTCTATGCACACTTTCATTTGTTGTTCTAACACACAACCATTTCAGAGCGTCTTCACATAAAAAAATATGCCAGTCCCAATATTATCTATCTAGAAAACATAATTACCACCCCTACTGGGATGGGCATTTAATTATATAATAATTGCACAACGGTATTCAAGCAGCAATGCAGCCTCAGTGTTTAGCAATGTTGTGATTTTATGTTCTTTTCTATTCCCAGCCCGCTGGGAATTTATGTTTCTGATACTTTAAGATGTTTATTGCCCTCCCCTGTATGGGTGATAAAATATCTTATTTAATCAGATATTATTTCAGCTGTTATATATTGTTTATGACACACTGTCCTACTAACTGTGTGTTAGAACAATAGATGAAAGAGTGATTCGAGCACTAATCATGGTCAAACAGTTATTTCTGCACATACATGGAATAGGCATCAGGATTCCACTAAATGACTCTTGGTCATACTTGGTAATGGAAATGTAAAGAGCATTTGAGGAACATATGAAAACTAATGTTATATCAGTGTTTAAATCCTTGGTGAATAAAGCTTGTCTAAGCTTTAGCAAAAGCTCAACACATATTCCTGTAGCATAGCGTAGCATGCAGTCCATTCTTTAACATCAATTAGCGTCTTCTTTACTCACTAGTAAACACTCGATATGATTAGCCTCATCAAAAGACACATTGCTTGTTATGTCCCTAATCGTGCCACACCTGCAAAGCTTTTTCCATGTCCATTTGGAAAGCTTGAGTTTCATCCAGTTTTGCAGCTCTGCAGTCAGGGGGTCTTTTCCTCAGTCTCACAGCCAGGGCATGGTCCTCATCCAGTTTGGCTCTAAAAGATCTGAAAATCAAGAAAAATGTGTTACAAAAGGTCTGTTTGCAGCCGTTCGGTTCTGAAAGGTTCTAACTTATCCTTGATGGTTCTGGGGATCTGGTTCCCCTGGGGCCCGCATCTCCACTGTGAGCCACAGTGGGCCCCAGCTTTGAGTGCAGGAGCAGAAGAGACCAGGAGCAAAAGGAGGGAAAAGTGAGGCTGGAGCAGAAGGGAGCAAAAGAGGCAGAATCCTGTGTGCTCTGTGGTTTTGTTCTGTCTTCACACAGAGGGGGGTAGGTTTTTCACACCTCTGGTGGCTTCCATGTGACTGCTTTGGCTGAAAAAGGGGGGGGGGCTGCAAAAGTCCCCCAGCTGTTATTCACCAAAGCTGCGTTTTTTCCTCTGGTCATCCTATCAAGATGAAATATGGACACTGGCTCCCAATGTCCAAAAAGTATGATCATGGCATTTGGCACAACAGCATGAATAACTGAGAACATTTCTACCTATTATTTTTTAAAACTTACACTTTTATTATTTTTTCACAGGTAAGTTATACAGCCATACAAGAGTGTTACATAAATCCGATGTTGATAATATGACATTTTCCATACAATAAACATCTTAGCATGACCTTAGTATCACATTTATAGACTCATCACCATACAGCCCTAAAACAAGGGTACTCTTTGGACAGGATGGCTAAAACCATATGCCAAAATACAAAATTGTTAGACTTATTTACATAAACAAAGCTTTTGCTGGTCCCCAGTGCAGGCTAAAAGTATTTTTTTTTTTAGTCTTAATGGGTAAGTTATCTTTTCCAAATTATACAATTCCCTTACTTTTTGATACCATAAGTCTTAGGAAGGTGGTTCCAATTACATCTACTTGATCGTAATGTATTTAAGGGCTGCTGTGAAAATGAAATTTAACAGACATTCTTTGGCCTTTACCTGCAAAACTTCTTGTATAATACCAAGTATAGCAACATTTATATCCTTTGCTATGATGTCTGGGAAGACACAGTATGATTTATAGCCCTTTACGTGTTGACATAGGAACAACAGATGTGTGTATGATTGTGTTCTTCAACACAAGCTTGGTACTTTAGGATCTATCTTGGTAACTACATCTGGGGATCCTGAAATACCTGCTAACAATTTTGCATTTAACTTCCCCCCATGTAATAGTTTGGAACTCGATGTGCCTCAGTCTAGACTCCCTCCCATGTTTCTCTGTCTCTGCCTCCCATCTATGTTTTGTCCAAGTGGGTTTGTTAAGGTTCATTTACAGAAGAACAGTATATAACTTTGCTATAAGTTAACTATCCCTTACCCCTTTACCCCTGGCTATTTGAATAAATAAATAAATACTTTTTTCCTATTTGTCTCTGTGTTAATATATCTATAACTATTTTAAACAGTTATTGAAAATACAAACATGGAAGTAATTTCCTTACTCTTTGTCTGTTTAGTAATTTCCTTAAAATATTTTTGATATTGTATTGGTGTTTAAACACTGAAATCCAAGGTACAAGCCAAAATATAAGTGAGGAGGAGGAGAAGACTGAAGAAACACATCAGTGGGAAAATTATATGGAGGATAAAATGGTGATGAAGGAGAAGAAGATTAAACCTTGAGCAGGAACCATAAAAAAAAAAAACAGGCAAGTAGAGGTTCAGAGTGCAGAACTGGATGGTGTAAGATTACTGTCATCGTTTTACAATTCAAATTCTGACACCTGTGTCTCACCTGCAGTATTTATGAAAAATTGTTAAATATTCCATTGAGATTCCATTCAGCACCAACGGTCAAAGAAAACTCTGTTAAAAGCAGGTCAAAGGATGCAAAGTAGAGCAACTGTCATAGTGCTCAGTCAAATGATGTTTTCCTGTAAACCAGACTTTTTTTCATAAAATCTAAAAATAGACACAATAGACACAGTCATCTCTCGAGGCAGGGTAGGTCAGCAAATGGTGTAAACAAATGTATTCATAAATTACTCTGTTTTATTTTATTAGTAAAATTGACCCAAAAAGTTTTTTTGTCTGTTTTTTTTCTAAAAACATCATTTCGGTGCTCAGCTACCACTCTTTTCCCTAGAATTCCAATTTCAGCGTTGTATCTTTGCCCTTTTTGTGAACATACACTTTGATAAGGGTTTTACTAACACTAAAGGAAGAGTTTGACAAAGAATTCTGACCAATACATTTCAGCCAGTTTAGGAAAGTTGACTTCAATGGTTTGTTACTAATCAGACAGGAAAATCAGCACCAGAGGGAGCAGTACCACCCCAGCAAAGCAGAGAACATGAACAAGATGAAGATCCCTCCATCATCTAAGGAGAGTCAGGCTGTGGCTGCAGAGTCCTGAAAAGAAATTAGACACAAGTGCAGGGCATTTAACTGCACAAGTACCCCATCCAGTAGAATCTCCTCAATTAAAAGTAGATAGGGTTTCTACTCAATCATTACTTTGTTGTTATGCATTGGAGGCAAGACCAATATAACAGCTTTTTCTATTGGACTAAAGATGCATGCAGCTTACAAAAGTGAATTAGCAGCTTACAACAGTGACCCTGGCTTAGACTTAGAAAATTTTATTGTCATTTTGTATTGGGAAAGTTCTCTTTCTACGTGAACTAGTTCAAAGTTCAGTTCACACATTTTAAAATGAACTAGTTCAGTTCATAGTTCACAATTCCAAAAAACGAACTAGTTCATAGTTCTTTTTTTTTTTTTTTCATATATTGCTCTATTACACCATAGCCTACTGTAGAACCACAGACAGCAATTATTTTATCAGTTGTAACACTGAAACTGTGCATCAGATTTCATCTTCATATCCAGTTTTGAATCCTTATCCAACCAGGGTTTACATTAGCATTGAGGGGACAGCATTTCCCCATTGTTGCTTTAATGCTTTGTTGCTGTCCATTCACTTCACACTAGTAGCAGCTGCAGCTTTCACCCCTACAGTATATTCTCAAAAACATCAGGAAAAATGTGCTGCTTGAATGGTCTTTTTTATGAGGAATTATTAAAAGAAAAATAGGAAAGTAGTCTTTAAGGTGCAAATGTTTTTTTTTTTTTTTTTAATAATTTTTTCCATTTGAAATTCCATTTCAATACATACTAAAAAGGAATACTGGAATCCTGGAAAATTATACCAGGCAGGTTTAACAAACAAGTTACATGGATAGTAAAACCCTCAAGAACAGGGGTCTTCTTTTCCAAACCAAGGACCCCCAAACTGATGGCGAGATGGAGCGGGGACCCCCTATTTATATATATTGTATGAAATTGTGTCCTATAGTCACTCTATTACAGATGGAGTAATGTAAAGAAATTAATTTCTCCCTGGGATTATTAAAGTTTTTCTGATTCTGATTCCTGGTTGATGGGACAGGTGTTGTGAAGGAAACGGTGCCCAGCTTGAAAGAGCTCCTGTGTGTCGCTGAATGTGAGCATTGATGACTGAAAGACATCTTCTGCCTCCATTTATCTGTTTACTACAGTGTGTTGATTTCATGTTAATGAGTATTTAAAGACATTTCAATTAGTGGGGGGGAAAAAAATGCAGGGGGGGAATATAAAAATATCAACTAACCCTGCAGACCCTCATGCAGTACCTCCGTAGACCCCCTAGGGGTCGCGGATCCCCTGTTGAAGACCTCCGCTCAAGAAGATTTTACTAACACAAACTGAGGGACCAGGCTGAGGTAGGAATTTAAGGTTACTGAAGTGCGGATTTTTTTACTGAAAGCCGGCGGGCAAACTTGTTGCCATCATCCTCACCGACCACCTGATTATAAAGCTGTTTTAAGTCGCCTCCATGCTGCTGTGGCTTCCACGCTGCATTTTGTTTTGATGACGCACGTGACTGTAGGCTACAACGCTGGTAGCTGCTGTTGCCAGATTGGGTGTTTTTCCCGCTACATATTAAGGCCTGTTTACGGTGTGATTTAGCCGGGGTTTCGCCTGGAGGGCTTTATAGAAATCTGGCAACCTATTGAACGGAGCTGAACTGAGAGAGCGTGCCGTTCACAGACGCCAGAATGAACGAGTTCACAATAACGTTCATCAGGCAGTAATGCAGTACGTTCAGTTCACGTTCGCCCAAAATATGAACGAGTTCATGAACTTTCGTTCAATGAACGCGTTCAGGCACAACACTGACACAGAGTATATTCAAAACTAAATGTCGATGAATACAGCTTACAACAGTGAATGAGCAGCTTAGAAAAGTGAAATGAGCATTACTATTTATAAAGTGAAGCAGTGATCAAGAATGTAAACAGCATAGGAGAAAAGGAATCCAGTTTAAAATAATGGTGCAAAAGGCATTGTAATGGAAAGATTCTCTGCAGTGCAAATTACGGTAGAGCATTGAGTATTGCTCTTTTTAAACAAGAAAATCCCAAAAATCTGTCTTTGTTTTGTGAAACAGAAAAACTGGCAACAAGTGACAAGCCTAAAATAGAAAAACACTAAATATGATTCCATGCATAATATTTTCTTGATTTGCAGCTTCATAAAACAAAAGCATAAAATGAAAGATTTTTTTACTACTAATTTTATGATACTATATGAAGAAGTTGGTTCCCTTAAAATATATCCATCCATATATTTTCCATCAAGCTTATTCCTGCAGGCGTTACAAGGGGAGCTGATACTATCTCAAGCTGTCAATGGGTGAGCAGAGGGGTATACCTGGACAGGTCCCCATTCTATCACAGGGCAACACAAAGATAAACAGGACAAAAACCTATTAACACACACTCACACCTAATGATAATTTAGAGAAGCCAATTGACCTAACAGTCATGTTTTTTGGACTGTGGGAGGAAGCCAGAGTACCCAGAGAGAATCCATGCATTCTCAAGGAGAGCATGCAAACTCCATGCTGAATGATCCCAGGCCGGGAATTGAACCTTTTTGCTGGTAGGTAGCAGTGCTACCCAAAGGGCAGCCTATGAAAATATATGATAACATAAAAATAAAGTACTCTCAACATTAAAATTGATTAAAAAAAAGATTCCTTTTACATTTTATAGACAAATTTATGAATGTAGATTTGTTTTTTCCAACTTTTATTGTCATTACACTGTCACAAGTACAAAGCAACAAAATAAACTCTCATTTAACCCATCCCCTTCGGGATCAGTGGGCTGTCATTGCGCGGCACCCGGAGAGCAGTTAGAGGTTAAGGGACTTTTGCTCAGGAACCCAGAGTGGCAAACTGTGGGAGTGAACCTCAGGATTCCAAGTGCAATGCCCTAACCACTGGGCCGCCACTCCTTAGTGATTTAAAATTATATGAAATGATATCACGTATGATTTACATTTTACCACTGTGATGACAGGTCTACGTGGGCTGCAACCCTTAGTGACAGTTGATGTCACAACGGGAAATGAATTCTGTTTGCTGTAGAATTATGTAAATAACCACCCAAAACAAACCAGAAAGCTATATTTTCCCTGCAATATTCAAACAATGTCCTTCTGTGTTTAGGGCAGCACGGAACATTTTGCTGCTGGCAGCCTTTGACTGAACATTAAGGATTAAGATTCAATTTAATATTACAAGGAACCAAATTATATGTAAGTTTTTTTCTGTTGAATTTTGGACTGCATCCTTCTAATAAATGTATAATAATGTCCATTGAAATTATTTTAATCTGAGCATATCTGTAGGGTATATTTTAATTGGTGGAATTTTCTATGAAAATGAACTGCTTACAAATATTTTATTTTCTGCAGTATTAATATACTTATGCAGACAAGCAGGGGCTTTATACTCTTCTGCTACCATGTGGGTTTTCACATTCAATGCATTGTTTTTAAATAAGAAACATTTATATTTTATTTATACTGTGACATTTTTAATTAATAGTGTATCAACAAAATTTTAAAGTTCTTTGAGATAAATTGCCTTTATAGTTTTCATGGTTCTTTGATTTGATAAATTTCTAATGTAGAAGAGTTTGATCATGTCTGCCGTTTATATAAAAGTTGTTTAAATATTTTGTATTATCCACTACAGATAACTAATCCCAACAAAAACGACATTAATCTCAGTCTAACGGAGCAGCTATGCTGTATATTCTTGTTCTCCTCATTCTAATGGGTAAGTGGTTCAACATACCTGAGATAGTTTTGAAGGTTTAAACTTGTAGCGGGAAAAATCTTAAAACCTGTGATGGTGATAGACTTTTGAATCTATTTAATATAGAACATATGGCATTGTGTAATGTACGTATTGTAAGACTATAGGCATCAACAAAAAAATGTAAAAACACAAAATAAATTTACCCTCCATGATAGAATCACCTCAAATTTTTTAAAATCCTTTCTTTATTTAGCATAGCTATTATTATTATTATTATCACAGTGGTGATCCTGGCAATTCATTTTAAAAGCTTAATTCAGATTTAAATGTTGAATAGAGCAAAAAAAAAAATTTGTAATCTATAATTTTCTGTTTTCTTGGTGTATAAATGCGATATGACTGAGGCTTTATTTCCTTTATCTAGCTTCATAGCAGGATAGGCAAGAAAAAAATGACACTCATTCAAGACCAACATGTGACACTAATAAAGAAAAAGTTTGTTTTTGATACAGGAACAGTTTAATGTCATTTTAAACCTGTGACACAATGCATGTGAGAACCCACAATACATTGTGAGGAAGACTGTAAAGCAGGGTTCCTCAATTCTGGCCCTAGAGTGCTGGGGTCTTCATCTTTTAGATATATCTCTGTTCAAGATACCTGAGTCCAATAATAAGGCCATTAGCAGGATTCAGGAGAACTTAACTGCATGCTGAACAGTGTTAATTTTGTCAGCTTTTTTAATTTAGTCTTAGTCTTAGTCACAAAGACAAAAATCAATTTTAGACTTAGTCATATTTAGTCATTGCCTTCCCTATTTAGTCTTAGTCAGAATGACGAAAATACATTTTAGTCTTGGTCAAATTTTAGTAATCTTTGTCATTTTATTCAACACTGTAAATAATAAGAACTTCTCCACACACTGCTTCTCTTTTTAACATATATAAGACACTGTAAAGAATAAAACTTCTCCACACACTGTTTTTTTCTCTATTTTATTTATATAACACTGTGCAGAATAGAACTTCACACAATGATTCTCTTTTTAACCAGAGATGGCAAAAGTACTCACTTTCCATACTTGAGTAAAAGTACAGATACTTGTGTTAAAAAATACTCTGGTAGAAGTGGAAGTACTGATTAAACTTCTTTACTCAAGTAAAAGTAACAAAGTACAGGCTTGTAAATTTACTTAAAGTTTAAAAGTAAAAGTAGAAACCACTTTTTCATGCCGTTGCCTACATTTTAAATGGATGTCTGCCAATAGGACTAGATCTCCGTTGTGTTCATTTTCAATCATCTCGTCATCCATACTACTACGCTAACGCCACCGCCACCAAGCTGCAATGATTTGCCGCGAATGAATACCACCGAATCTGTCGATTCATCTTGTAGTGGTGCGTCAAATGCAACGTAGATTCCCATCCAATTAGATTGAATTTGGTATTGATGACGTGAAAAATAATAACGGTAACTCCATTGAAATGATTTAAAACTAAAGTAACAAGCCAATTTTTTAAAATGTAAGGAGTAGAAAGTACAGATATTTGTGTAAAAATGTAAGGAGTAAAAAGTCGCCATAAAAATAAGTAGTAAAGTAAAGTAAAAATATCAGAAAAATCTACTTGAGTACAGTAACGAAGTATTTGTACTTCGTTACTTCCCATCTCTATTTTTAACATATATCACACTGTACACATTGAACCTTTTATCAGCTTGTTTCATCATATCCACAAAGTCTTCACCCTCAAACAGACTTCCCGTCCTTCCCCAACGTCTGATTTGGCTGTAGTGTCACTGTGTCAGGTATCTACTGTAGTTGGGAGGAAGAAATTTAAACGATTAATATCCAGTGTATCAGCAGAACATCTTTCTTCTATGACAGAGAGAGACAGACGGATACAGGCACAGGAAGGGAAACACACACATTCACAAGCATGCACGCGCACACACATACACTCACATCCGTTCATACTACTACAGGCCCACTCGTTCCTTACCTTCTTCCATATGGCAGCATGTTGGCACCTCAGATGTCACTTGAGATTAGTTTTTTTCTTCCCTGACATTTTGAAGCCGCAGAGTCTTTGGTGGTGTCCTTACTCCGGCGTTGTCCTTTGCGTTGTAAACAAAACGGCTCCATACATCCAGGCTTTGTTTGCGCTCAGCTCTGTACACTGTACACCGGTATCCGAGCCCCACGCAATGACTGTGAAGTTGAGCTAGGAGTATAACCCCTGTGCTACTACTGACTGAGCAGCGCGAGGCACTGTGGGATACGTGCAGTGTAGAAACAAACAGGGCAACAACACCTAATCTTCTATGAAGCTCAAGAAAAACATATATTAACAATTACAAATTACAAATTAATTATAAACGATTACATTCTTTAATATCCATTCATCAATGGTTCGTAAGTATCGTATGGTCTTAGTCTCGTTAACTAAAATCATTTTCTATTTTCATCATATTTTTATTTTTTTATTTTCGTCATCGTTCTGGTTGACGAGATTAACAATGATGCTGAGGTGGTAATTCAGCAATTTGATTCAGATGTGAAAGCAGGGACACATCAGAAATGTGCTTTACACCTAAACCTCAAGGGATGAAATCAAGCCTGATTAAGAGAAGGTAAAACAATCTACAGGTCCACCAATTGAAAACTTTTGTGTTTTCAGTATAAAATAAGACAAGATACAACAGTACAAGGTATTATATGATCAGGGGCGTGCATACATAGACACTAGGTGGTGCTAAAGCACTAGGAAGTTTGCCCTTTATCAACGAAAATTCCCTTTTGAAACTCGTTTTTTTTTATTATTATTAATATTATTAAGATTTTACTGAGGTCGGTTTTGAAATGATATTTTGAAAACCTGAGCCATTAAAAACGACTGAAACAATGCCCCGAAATGAGCCACCTCCTTGCGCACACCCGACCAGCCTATCTCTCTTCCTCTGGGCAGGGCATGCCAGATGCGCAGCCTCATAGCAGTTCAGTAAACCTCTTCAGATAGCAGGAACGGTCGCTGACAGATTGCTTATCCCGTGCCCCATTAGCCAGGTAATATACAGATAAAGCAGAATAATTTTGTTGTGCAGTAAGATGTCTCATTCAGCAGCACCAAACAAGCATTTTTGCCGACTGGTCCCCTGATAAACTAGTTAGGCTAGATAAAGTTTTACACTGTAGCCCAAGTCAATGACAGATAATATGAGGACGACCACATAGGCTACAAATAATTTCGGTAGAGTTTGCAATTGCAAATCTATGTGTTAAGACAAACGTTTTCTGTTGTATAGGTTTTGTTAGGCAACATAAATAAACACATTTTGGTCTCTTTATTGTCTTAATTGTAAATTGATTTAGTAATTGCAGCACAATGCCAAGAAAGGAGGGTTAATCATATTGAAAAATCTTAAAAGCTGTTCACATTTTATTTTTAAGTGGTTTGTACAAAATCAGCAGGTATTAAAAAAACTATTTTGTAGGCTACCATAAGTCATATCCATGTGACAAGACTTCCAGTCATGCCCTAATAGCCCATTATTTAAACTAATGTGGCATATTTGTTAAAGCTATTATTATTATTATTATTATTATTATTATTATTATTATTATTATTATTATTATTATTATTATTATTATTATTATTATTATTATCATCATTATTATTGTTATGATGGGTATTATTATTATATTGTAGCCAGTCACAGAAAAAGACCAGGATGAGGGAGAACAGATGGATGAGGGAGAACAGATGGGTGAGGGAGAACAGATGGGTGAGGGAAAACAAGAAGATAAGCCAGATGAAAGAAGAAGAAAGATGAGTAAGCTTCTTTTTTCCCATTGAAAACTCACGTTTAGAGAATGTTACAAATAAGTCAAAATTCATTCAACATGCATGTGTATTTTTTTTTATAATTAAGTGTTCCACGTGCGCTAAAAAGCACCCTCCCCGACCCCCCTCCTGAGCACCTGCCCCCCAAAATGTCTGTGCACGCCTCTGTATATGATAATATAAAACATAACTTTTTTTTTCACTGTAGAAACGAGTAATGCAAATTTTACAAAAGATTAATGTATTATACGGTTCCCTATACAGCGTATGAGATTTCCAAAAGGTTTGGAAGTTATGTACAGTAGTAGTCATTCAAAATGTATGCATTTTCCTTGATAAGCTCTTGGCTGGTCCCCTACAATTCCTTTTTAAACATCAATATTTAAACTAAAACATTCATTCTGTCATGATTTGTGGATATTAATATCTAAACATAAGCGTTATCTCCTTGTCAGACCCTGTAATCCAGTGAAAGGGTGGAGTCAGAGTAATGAAATATGTAAGAGGTGGTCACTCCAGTGGCTGGAAGTTAGAGGGGATTTTGCTGGGAGTTGGAGGGAGGTGGGCTGCCATTTGGATTGCATTTGACTGGGAAGGGCCATTTTGAATGGCTGCTACTGTATGTGGTCAAAAATATATTTAACTAGGATCTGTATTTCTTTGTTTTAAGACCATATTTCTTTTTCTTTAAGACCAGAGCTGTTTGATGGTAAGTCAGCTCTATGAGTATCTCTACATTAATGAGGAAAAGACCTGGACTGAAGCTCAGCAGTACTGTAGAGAGAAACACACTGACCTGGCCACAGTGTCTAACATGACAGACATGAAGAGACTCCTTAGTACCAGAGCAGGACACATGAAGGAAGCTTGGATTGGTCTGTATGACCAGACAGATGGTGACAGAACATGGTACTGGTCTCTGCCTGGAGTGGAGTTCAATGAAAGTGAGACAAACTGGAACGAAAATGAACCAAATAATGTTATGGCAACTCAAAACTGTGGTATTATATGGAGAGATCGAAAATGGGGAGATGAGTCCTGCAATAAACATTTCTATTATCTCTGCTACAATGGTATGAAAAAAATTCCTGATACTGCTAATTTAGAGATATTAGTGAAAATATGACAAACCGTGGGGGGAAAGTAGTTGGAAAACAATTGACAGTTAAATGATCTAAAGAAGTATTATTATTATTTCCCTTGTTTTTTGTCTTTTTACTTCACAGAAACTAATGCGTTAAACAAATTCTACTTAAGTAATGAAAAGAAGACCTGGCTGGAAGCTCAGACTTACTGCAGAGAGAAACACACAGACCTGATCAGTGGACTGGACCAGCTAGAGAATGAACAACTAAAAGATACATTTTTTTTTTCCACTCTTGATCAAAGTGAAAGATACATATTTACTGGTCTGTTCAGAGACACCTGGAGGTGGTCAGATGAAAACAGTTTCTCTTTCAGACACTGGAACCTAAAGTTTGACAACCAAATATACAACAGTGGTCAATGTGCCATGACTGTGTTTAATGATGGAGGCAGATGGAGGAATGAGACATGTGAAAAGAAAAGACCCTTTATCTGCTATGATGGTGAGTTCTTTTCAAAATTTGTACAGATGTCGCTGTTCTCTTATCATTGTGTGAATGATGTATTTTGGTTATGATTGTGTTCATGAAAATAATCATATTTGAATATTATAATTTGTGTTAGTATTTTAATTACATTAAACACAACATATATATGTTTTTTTTTTTATTCCAGGGAATTGTGATTTTTTTGGATTCTAGAAGATAATATTAAAAATCACTAAATTTACCACAGACTTTAGATGTTCAAACATGTTTTTGACTTAGGTTTCTTTAACCACTGGTAATTGTTGATCATTATAATTACTTACCGCAACTGGCAACTAGTAGTTATGACTGAAAATGACAATCAATGTAATTGCATTATCAAATCATTAAATCAAGTAAGGTTTTGTGCCGATCACTCCTCTAAGATAAGCAGAGACATGCATCTTTTCATTAAAGGAATAGTACACCCAAAACATGATTAGCCTTCATTTTCTACTCACCCCCATGCTGAACAACACCCTGGAGTACTTTTTTGATATCTCAAATGCATCTGGAGATCTGGGAGGCTTCTTGCTGTCTGCTGACATTCAAATAATGGAGGTCTATGGTGCCCGAGACAGAAAGGTCCATAAAAGTCCACAAAAAACGTGTCAATATTCCTCCATACTGCTCGTTCAATGTATTCCAAGTGTCCTGAGTGGGTAGCATCCAGAATTTACTCGAAACGAAGTCATTTAGAATGTTTTTAGAGCATAAACAGTGGTGTATAGGATTTCCTGAAAGCGCGCACATGCGCGCTCACGACGCTACGGAAGCCGGCAGACCAAACCAGCGCATTCAGCTCGGCAAAGAACTCATGCTCTTCCTTAACACTGAGGTCCTCAGACATTTTTCTTTCGTTGTTTCTTTCTTTGCACAGGTAAACAGCACGTTTCGTCTTCTGCGCTTGCATTATTGGCAGAGCAGACGCTGAATGCGCACTTTCATCTGGTTTGGTCTGCCGGCTTTCGTAGCGTCGTGATCGCGCATGTGCACGCTTTCAGGAAATCCTATACACTACTGTTTATGCTCTAAAAACATTCTAAATGACTTTGTTTCGAGTAAATTCTGGATGCTACCCACTCAGGACACTTGGAATACATTGGACGAGCAGTATGGAGGAATATTGACACGTTTTTTGTGGGCTTTTATGGACCTTTCTGTCTCGGGCACCATAGACCTCCATTATTTGAATGTCAGCAGACAGCAAGAAGCCTCCCAGATCTCCAGATGCATTTGAGATATCAAAAAAGTACTCCAGAGTGTTGTTCAGCATGGGGGTGAGTAGAAAATGAAGGCTAATCATGTTTTGGGTGTACTATTCCTTTAATGCTGAAATTTATGGAACACAATATTCAACAAAAAATTGTATTAGAAGAAAGCAACTAAAAAAAGGGCACTAAAATAAGAAATATTGATAAGCACTGTTTATAGACATACTTGTCAAATATCTGTATAATGATACATTCACACTGAATGTGCTTTGCGTGGCAAAGAAGCTCCGGCTGCTTCATTTTTGATGTTTGCAAACATTAAGGTCAGACGCACGTCTCGAGCATCTTTGATGTACCTTAAACACGTGCAGTAGTGTTGTCCTACTGGTTTTAATTGCAGAGAGCGGCTTTGCTATACCTATTTGCTGTGATGAGCTGGTAAAATGTAGTTTTAATATATTTTTAAGCGAGAAAGTACACCTAAAACCTTATCTGTGCAGTCAGTTAATCAAGATTACATTCCTGCCCTAAAATATTATTTTACTGTCGGGGCCGCTTAGATCTCCTCAAACCTGCATCATTGAGAATTGCCAGCAGCAGCTGTTAGTCCACTACTGTTTGTCACAGCTGGAAGTAGATGTTGCCATTTTGCAGGTATATGGTACAAACTGCAGGCATCACAATAATAACAGCGAACATATTTTGCCGACAGGTTTCATCATTTTAAGTTACTTTAGGCATTAATAAACTGTTTCATAGGAGTGATCATAGCAATCTGCATCAGCAGTGCTGTGTCTGTCTCCCTGCCAGCTCAGAAATCGGCTTCTCTGATTTTTGATGTGGCGCATCCAGCAGCAACAGTACAGCATATGCTGCTTGTAAATCACGTCACACAACCTTTGACCTTGCAAGTAAACCAACTGCTTCTGCTGTTTCAATCGCGTGCGTTGTGAACGTAGCATAAGGAATAAAGTTCTAAGTAATATCTTGCCACATCATGGGTTAATTCATATTCATGTCGTAAAACAGATAAAGTGATCCTGGTCAAAGAAAAGATGAACTGGGAGGATGCGTTATACTACTGCAGAGATCACTACCATGACCTGGTCACCATCACCAGCCTGGATGAGCAGAGATGGATCCAGGAGAAAGCCAAGAAGGCCTCGACTGATTATGTCTGGATGGGACTGCGCTACACCTGTACTCTGGATTTCTGGTTCTGGGTCAGTGATGAGGTGGTCAGGTATAAGAACTGGGCCTCAGGGGAACCAGTGGATGACTGTGACATGTCTGGAGCCATGGAGACAGGAGGAGGACATAAGTGGAGGAAAATAAATGATCTAGAGGAGTTTAATTTCCTCTGTTCAAAGTCCTAAAGCTCGTTATTCTATCTGATGAAAGTCTTTTTAATTCATTTCACTACTTCTTCAGTTCCTTAGTATGTATTAATTCTATAGACTTTATTTCTAGTAATCTTGCTCTGTATTGTAGACGCAGACGGTTAAGAAGTGCTTTTAGTTTTTATTTTTCAAGCTTCATATGACTAACATTACGTAGAAGTATCACAATGTGCCTTATGGTAACTACCTTAAACTTTAAAATGTGCTTTGTTTATTTTATTCATTTGTCAATGTATATCTTTAAAAAAAAATATCAAGGCTTTAAGGCTTTAATACAGTCAGAAAAATAAAATGTTATACTGTTTTAAATGTAAATTTCCATTTTTTCCACCTCCCTTTTTATGGTTAAAACATTCATACATTCACAACAGATGGAAGAGGCCACAATGATATAGGATTGAAAAGAAAAGTTCTACATCAAGCATGCAGGAAACAAGGGGGGGGGGCATGCTAATTAACTGAATCTCTATGACCCAATGAAGATCTATTCTAATAGATGTTCTTTACCTCCTAAGACTGTCGGGCTGCTACTGTTTCTTTTTCTATAAGGTTATCCATTGAATTGTTTATTAAAAATTCTATGTCAAAATATACCTTTTTGTGTGGTAGTTTTAACCTCCAGCCTTATATTTATTGTCGGCACGTCTTTACAGTTTCATACAATCAGAATTTGTTTTATTTATATTAAGTAATTATCCTTTTTTTTTTTTTAGAGTTGATAGGAATTTTTCACACTTAAGAGCAGCAGTACTTGATCATATTTTTTACTAAAGTTAAACTGAAAATAGTAAAACAACAACTAATACAGCTTATAAAACTATTGAATAACAAAATCAAAAAGAACTTGTTCAAAAACTTGAAAACAGACATCATGGTCCTCCCCCATGGTGCAACTCCAGATGGTGTCACCCAATCAGCCATTCAAGCATTTGGTGTGTTCAAATTCGTTGGCTACATCCTTCGAAGGACCTGACCTACCTGGAATGGATCCTGTGAAGGCCATGAAAATAAGGAGGCTGGAAGAATTCAGCTATAGATTGGAACAGGTCACCATTTCTTTCTTCAAATATTACTCAAAAAATATAAGTAGTTATTACCCACCTCTGACTACATCTTTTGTAAACCGTGTGTAGTTATATTACATATATATATATATATATATATAGCTATATAGTTATTTATATTCTGTTAATGGAAAATAGAGAAAAGTATTTTAATTGCAGGCGGTTTCTGTTTAATTTGAAAAATTATTAGTGAGTGGCGCAGAAAGTCAGTTTCCATTCTTAGGCTTTAGGTTAAGGTCAAAATGGTCAAAAAGTCAAAATGCCTGGTCAAGGTTTTGTCCCTCTCCATCCCTGGATATATATACAGATATCTGATAACCACTCTGTGGCTTTATTAAAAACAGAAGCAGGTTCATCCAAAGCGTGTTTCACTGGTTAGATAAATAATTGTCTGCTGGTCACTATGATCAATGTAATGCACAGGTTTGTATGATTTTTCTCTGGTCCATGTGGTTGTTTTGAGCTGCAGGGTTTCTATACACCCATTACTGCTGAGCTTTAAATAATTAATACAATTTTTGCGAAATGTTCAGAAAGGGTATTTACTTGTATACTACAGTGTGCTCAAACTGGCTTCATAAAGGGAAGGCATTCATTCACCAGTGCACACAGGTTAATTACATCTATTAGAATATTGAGAGAATAAAAACATAAAAGATTAAATAAGTTGCAGTTAAGCATTTGAATGTTAAATGGAAGTCCTGATTTCCATCTCTGCACAGATTTGTTTGGCCTATTTATTAATCAGGCTCACAGAAAAAGCAGGTGCTTGATACAGAGAACGAGAGGCAGAGAGAGGAAAACAGCGAAACACTGTGGCGTAATCAGACACTGCACAGAAACTGAAGGAAAATGAGTTTCTTAAAACATTACTTTAAGGAAAGCATGCAAACAGGTAGCCTCGTGAGACCATCCTGATCTCGCGAGCTTTAAAGATTTTACTCGCTAATCAGTCTGGCTGCTCTTCGTTGAAGAAAATTTGGAGCCGTTCACCAAACGAACGTCCCATCAGCGTTGGCTTTCAGGCGGGTTGAGGTGTGACGCAACAAGCGCGACAGTTCAGTCTAAAGAACATGGCGGCTTCAGCTGATGAAACTAGCGTTAGCGTGGCTATCGAGCAAGTTTTATCGGAATTACACTGTATTTCTTCACTGAAAGAAGAGCAAAATACTGCTCTGGAGACTTTTCTCAGAGGAAAAGATGTTTTGTTTCAGAGGAAAAGTATATTCGCCCCTTCCCAAAATTACTTCAACAGAAGGTTTCCAGATGGATATGAGGAGCAAATCCATCTGGCGGAGTCAGGTTAGCAAACAGGTTGCATTTAGAATAGTAGAAGTACAATGAACTAGGTATTTTAGGTTGTGCTCACTGGAGCTTTATTTGTAGAGTAAACTTATATGACAGTATTTACCTTATAACTTATCTTAGTTAAACCTTTGTTTTAGCAAAATAAAAAAAGTGATCTACTAAATAACATGAGAAATGTACTTTTTATTTCCTCCATCCATCACCAGGCGTTTTATCAGTCATGGTGGGGCTGGTGCCTATCTCCGTCAGTCTATTGGCAATGGGTGGGGTACTGCCTGGACAGGTAACCAGGCTACAATAGAGCAACACAGGGACATATAACCATACTCACTAACACCAACTTAGTGATGGAAATTAATCTTCCAGTCATGCCTGTGGAAGAAGGCTGGAGTACCCAGAGAGAACTCTATCTCTGGATCTGCAACTTCAGACAGAAACACCGAAAATCCAACCCAGGAGCTCCTTCCTATTTACAAAAATATGAAATTAAGTTAAGACACTATGCACTAAGGACAAGAGCATCACATAATTCTATGTATTCATCAGGAAGAGAAAAAACCTGAAAAACCTTGGTTGACCTTAAATTGTTATTCTTTGAATTATTGGACATTTAAGATTTGACAACTGCTCCCTGAGGATCCTAAATTAAAAGAAGATAAAATTATGCTTAAAACTCCACTTCCACTTTTAATCTCAAAGTTTAAACCTTTTACTGACATCTGCTGTGAGGTGAGGGAAATTGCAACTTAATAGGCATATCTTTTTATTATATATTTTACCATTTAAATAAGAAATTAGTAAAGCAGTAACCAAGGAGTAATATAACTACATGTTGAAAATAAATAAATGAAATAAGAAGACACACTGTTTTCCCCAGCAGTTAATCTAAATAGGGCAGTTCCTCTGTCTGGATGTACAGTTATAATCTTCATTCTGTATTGGTCAAAGATTTAAGAAACAAATGAGAACGGTGTCCTTCAGGTAAGAACAAAGTGTAATATTTTGATTAGGCTGGAGCCATGGATGTCTCCCCATCTGCAAATGTGTATGATGGAATCGTGTGATGATATGGCAGACTAGAGTTGTATAAAATGATTCTGCAATGGTGAATCAAGACCACTTGACATAAAGTGAGCCCTGTTGGTGACAGCTGCCTTCTGTAACCCTGTGATGGTCATATGGTCAGTAACATCACACACAACCACTTTTTCAATTTAAGTTTTAACACACAGTAGCATAAATGCATTGTTTTGTTTATTTTTATTTTGACAATATTAGAAGACATTACCGTAGTTCCAATTGTAGCCCGCACATTTGGTTAACTTTTGTATGTCTAATTTTGTCAAATGCTTAATATCTGTGCTTTCTTTTCTGGTGTTGTGGAAGTAACTTGAACAGGGAGAATGCAAAGGACTCTGGCTGACATACATTTACATATTTGGTGGTACCATCTGGAGTTCCACTAATGGGGGAAGACCATGGACTCCACATTTTTAATATGCTGCATAATCTCTTATTTTCTTTTATAATTTTCTAATTTTGTTAATTTTGTTTAGTAGCAGTAATTTAAGTTTAATCTTTAAGCTCACTGTTTAGTTATTTTTTGTTAAAATTGTGTAGATGTTCCCCCTACCTCTTCCCCAGTATGTCAGTCTGGTCTGATCAGTCTTGTTGAATACATCACATGATGCTATACATACAGTCACTCCCCAATGTGACTGTGGGTGGCTTTTGGCCTGTAGCCGATGTCATTAGACTGTGTCCAACCTCACGGGGTGTTTCTACGCTACACCCTCCAGCTGGCGGGTCAGCCGTGGTGGCCAGATCACTGCCCATCATCTCCAGGCCTCCAGCCCCCCTCCTCCCTCTTAAACAACAACCAGCATGAGGTTCTCTCTGCTGCCTTCCCAATCCTGTGCACAGCTATCTTCCTCTCCTTACCATATATTGCAAGTGCAGTGAGCACAGACCACATCTACTGTGCTAGGAATCCTCTCCACCCGACCTTCACTGGAAACAGCCATGCTTGCTAGCCGTTATCTTTGCAGTCCATGATGAGGTCCTGGTATTTTAGGTTTTTCCTCTCATGGACCTCCTCACAGCCTTCCTCCCAAGGCACAGTCAGTTCCACCAGGATGATTTTCTTAGATTGCTCTGACCAGATGACAATGTCAGGCCTCAAAATGGTCTGTACGATGGGTGAGAAAATTAGCTTTTTCGAAAGATCGACTGTCACCTCCCACTTCTGTGCCCCCTGGAGGATGTTGGTCCTGGCTGTTTTATTAGAGGATGGTTTTTCTCCTGCCCTGACAAATTGTATTGATGGTACTTGTGGGTTAGTCAGCTGTGGTCTTCTCCTGGCCTGCTGGAAAATGTCAGCCATCACTCGGAGTACTTGGTCATGTCAAGACCTATATCTCCACTGAGCCAGAGCGAAGTGGCACCCTGCTAAAATGTGGGTCAGTGTCACCCACTTCCTGCACAACTTTCAGAGCGGATCCTCCCTCAAGCCCCAACTTCACTGGTCATGGGAGTGTGTCATACACACACCTCAGGAGGAAGCTAAGATGAAAAGCTTCCAGCCTCCAGAGCTCAGTCCATTTGACCCTCCTCTTTGGGAGGTCCCATCTGATCAATGTTCCTTGGGTTGCCAGTTCCACAATCTTAGCCTTCCGCATCTCCTCCTCCTGGTCATGGACTTCCACTTGTACCATCTCCTGTCTCTGCTAGACACTTGCCTTCCTCCACTGTGTGAAGTGAGATGTTCCCAGTCCTTCCTGACCCATGCAGACATTGCTAGTTATGTCTTTAAACTCCAGGGAGCTCTCAGCTTGTCGAACTGCAGGGTCTGCTGCCCACTTACGGCCTGTTTGTGTTGTGACCCCTGCGTTGCTTAATTCCTCGTCCTTTGAGTCTCTGAGCATCATTGCCACCCTGCACATAGCCACCTTGAACTCCTCCACCACAGAGGAAAATGGAAGTTGGAGCTGTCATGATCGACGTAGAGCCCGACTGCAGTGAGGCTGGGAGGGATACCAAGCCACCGCCTCAGATGTTTGTTCACTCTCCTCTCACTTCCTTCACTGCAGTCACTGGGATCTGATAGACTGTCAGCAACCAC